TCAAGAGGGGTGATCTCCAAAAATATAACCATTTTTGTAATAATATTAATACAATAATAAAATATTATATATTATATATAACTAATAATATGAAATATAATAATATAATATTAAGATGTTACTGGATTCTTCACTCCTATTATACAGGTGTAGAGTTTTTCAGAGGCAGTGTAACATGGGATGAGGTCATCACTCTGAGGGCTAATTAAATCAGTTGATGTATTCTTGTGTTTTAAAAATTCTTCAGTTTTAGCTTCTAATACATTAAACATCAGACGATATAACCCCAGAGACAAAAGCTCTGGAGTCAATAATTTTGAAGACTATAAAAGGGATCCTGAGAATTAGAATAAGAAGTTTAACTTTTCAATGATTAAATCTATTTTCATTACCTCAAATACATAAAATTTAAAATGTTATCATTCATTTAATCATTATATAACAATGCTAGAAAAAATGGTAGCTACTGGTATCCCTTTCACAAGAAGAGTTTCTATTCCGGAGAGGAAAAATCCACATAATTCTATTTGATATAATAGATAAAAATCAGAAAGATCAGAGTATAGTCAAATCTTAGGAGCTTGGGAAAGGAATAGGAAATGCTTGTTAATCTATTGAGGGTGGAGAAAAGAGGGAGACTTACCATCAAGGTGAAAGGAACAGTGGAGGCAAAGAAAGGTTATTTATTTATGTATAAATAACCTGTGAGTCCCCAAAATTGGATTGGCCTGTGTTCAAAGTATCCTGAATTCATCTTCTTTTTTTAAAAAAGATTTATTTATTTATGCATACAAGAACTGGGGTACAGGCCAGAGGTGTGGAGGGGTGAGAGTATTCACCAGAGACAGAGTAGGGAACAGAACAGGCAGATCAACTGAAATACACTGCTGAGGGGAGCAGCAGGCAAGTCCGGAGAGTTCTGCCTCACCATGTGGGTAGCTCCCTGGTCGGGGATTGAACTTGTGCTTCAGTGGCTATGGATAGCTTCATAGGTTGTGTCTTAACCCCTTGCACCACCAGGGAGGCCCCTGAATTCATCTTCTTTGTCACTGTGTCTCATTAACTAAACTTTTGCAAGAAGGAAAAGCATTAACTAAATATGTTGCACAAAGACACAGACCAGATATGCTTTGGTAACCATTATATTCCTTTTCTCTTTCCATTGAGCAGCTTTTTCTGCATTTTTGTGTACATGCAGAAAATGGCCATCTAGCCCCAGAACCAAAATATTTCCCAATTATAGGGCCATCAATTGATCAGAATTCCAATGTTTTATCTACAAATTCTTGGAGAATCTGGTTGGCAAAACTTAGACATGTTCTATTGTGGTCCACCCATCATTTACTAAAAGATTTAGGTCAAGCCAAATCTACATGGTTCCAGAGATGACTTCTTTGGAGATGAGGACAATTCTTTTTATGAAGGAAAAGTGGGTTGATAAGATATCCCCCCAAATATCTACTGTAGTCATGATAGCATACTCTATTCTGTGTTCTTGACTTGTTCTCAGGGTTATTCTCATAGAACATATAAGGGACCAATCCCTACAAGAAGGAAAAGGGTGGTGATCTAATAGTTCCGTTTCCCTTTCCTTTGGGAGTCCCACTTAAAATACTTCAGCTTCAGGGCCTCCCTGGTGGTGCAAGGGTTAAGTTGCAAACTTTGAAGTTATCCCCAGCCACTGCAGCATGAGTTCGATACCCAGCCAGACAGGGAGCTACCCACATGGCGCAGCAGACCACTCCTGACTCACCTGCTATTCCCCTCAGCAGCGTACTTTGGTCAATCTGCCTGTTCTGTTTCCCACTCTGTCTCTGGAGAATCTTTTCACCCCCCATGCCTCTGGCCCGTACCCCAGCTCTTGTATGCATAAATAAATAAATCTTAAAAAAAAAAAAGAATACTTCAGCTTCATGTTGACCCATTGGGAGTGGAGAGTTAGTCTTCTCTTTTTCTTTTAACCCTAATAACAAGAACTGCCACCAAAACCAAAACCAAAGGAAAAACACTTCCCACAATTCTTCACATAATACTGCTGGGATAAGCTAGAATTTTCAAAAACACTTTTACTATTAAGGAAGAACAAAAAAGGAAATAAACAATACATAGCAATTAAAAAAATAAGTGTGGCTCACAAAATAAGTTTCTGACCCTTACCCTAGAGAGATGATTCTTGTCTTACTTCACTTGGGACCTAAGGGAAAAGAATCTGAAAATATGATTCTCAGCAACAGCACAGAAAAACAAAATTAGAACATAACTTGATGTGAACTATACTTAGGAGTCTCTAAAAACATTTGCAAATAGGAACTGAATACAACACATCTGAATCAACATGATACCAGTTTCCATCAAAACCTATTTCAAATATGCTTCAGTCTGATAAGCATGCTCAATGTCCTATTACTTTTTTGTCCCCCAGAACACAGACTGAGCTGGGTGTTTGTTTTAAGCTTAAATTAAACCAATTTACTATGTAAAATATCACAGTTTCCAGGACATCAAACAGTTTTTATAAAGTGTTGGTTTCTCTTTTGTATTGTACTGCTTTCTGTAGAAAAACTAATCTCAGATATAATACTTAAAACTTCTTATGTTATTTACATGTGATATGAAAAATTTAAATGATTATCAATGTTTCAAGACTAGAAATATGTAAAGTTTGAAGTCTCCAAGTTAAAAAATTTAAGGGGCTACTTACTGCTTTGAATTCAGTTTAAATAAGGATCCTGTTTTTAGGTTCTAACAGCAGCATGGTATAGGTTAAAACAAGTGGAGAATCGGCAATTAGGAGATTTAGGTTCTAGTCTCCATTTCTGCCAGTAAGTAATAATGTTACCATGTTCCTAATGTTTTAAATAAATTATGGCTCATTTTTTTCTACTTATAAGGGTTATTTAGAAACTTTAAGTCCCTTCTAACTCTAAAATGCCATGGTACTAAGATGTAAATATTTTCTTTCATATATATCTTTTTTTAAAAAAAGATTATTTATGCATACAAGAACTGGGGTACAGGCCAGAAGTGCAGGGGGTGAGAGGATTCACCAGAGTGGGGAACAGAACAGGCAGACTGACCAAAGTACACTGCTGAGGGGAGCAGTGGGCGAGTCAGGAGAGGTCTGCTGCACTATATGGGTTGCTCCCTGGCTGGGAATGGAACTAATGCTGCAGTGGCTGCGGACAGCTTCATAGGTTGCTTCTTAACCCCTTGCGCCATAAGGGAGGCCCCATATTTATCTTTTTAAAAAGAATTCTCATTGACTCTCTGTGTCACTAAGTCCTTTCATAGGTAATTTTTAATTCCATTATTAATAAGCATCTACTCTGTGCATATCAGTAATCCCAAATCCATTCTGGACTAAGGCAGGGCAAAAAACTAAGCAAAACATATATGCATTCCTTTAAGGCCACTATACATTTAAATGACTAAAAAAGTAAATTTTATATTATGTATATTTTATCACAGATTATATATGTGTATATATGTGGATGCAGCGCTCACCTAACACGTTGTGCTTAACATTTAAAATTGTTTTATAGTTGTTTGGACACCAGTCTGTTTCTCCAAAGGACTCAGTCACTCTGAGAACAAGGACTCTTTCTTAATCCTAGCTGTAACTCCAGGGCCTAGAACACTGTCTTACTCTTAGTTAACAGGGGAGAGCAATTATATCCAGGCTTTTCCAAGTGTTGTTATTTCATATATTTTAATTATGATTTTCAACCAAGGCAATTCATTCAGCACAGACTTTTGCAACACACACCAGAAAAATTCTTTATCTCATGTGTGAGTTCAGGAAATATTACCACAGAACTTTAGACTTTTAACAAACGTTTGTCAAATTAATGCCTGAGATTTGACAAGACAAAAAGATCAACATTAAGTCCTACAATCAGGCCAATAGATATGGAGTGTAAGAGAAGTACATAATGTTATACTTCTTAAGAAATATGCTAACTAAACCCTCCTTCAAGCAGCTAGCAGGGTGAATAACCTTCTACCACTTTCTCTGAGTGGTTTTTAACCAAGCCATTGTATTTCAACCTCAAATAATCAAAAAGTAGGCAGTTACCTAAAATAGCAATTCATTCCTCAAACAAAAGCTACCTGTTGGAAACTTTGACATTCCAATATACTATATAATGTCATTTTTTTTTTTAAACCTAAGCTTAGACTACTTATATAATTGACAGGTGGCTTGGATGCTTACTACACCAAGAATAACTGGCTTTTTTTTCCCCATTCGTGGGAATGATCAGATCCACCCCTTTAGTTACACAATTCAAGAAGCCAGTTAAATACCAAAATCTGTCGAATCCTCTAGTCCAAACCTTCGTTCAGCGCTTGGGAAAAAGCATCTTAAAAGACTATCAATAAAATTGTCAGGAATCTAGAGCTCTTTACATTCCTTGGAAAAAGTACAGAAAAACACCCCATGTTCAGCTAGCTGTGCACTTCACCGGCTGGAAAGGAAAGCTAAGGGTGGGGGCGACCAAAAATCAAAAATGACATCTTGGGTTGTTGGGAGGAGGAGAACTGAGTTACAGGGTTTGAGTCTGAAAGCTCTTCGGTAGTGGAGGTTAGAGAGCGGCCCATTCACGCTAGGCCTAAACTTCAGCCAAAGAGAAGGTCGCTCTGGGGGAAAAACAAGAAATATACAGCGAAAACGCTCCATATTTCTAGCGTTCTCAGAGGGGCCGTTAACCGCAGCAGGAAAAGTCGGCCCGTTTTCTTCTTCCTCTTCCCGCCTCCCAAGAGACGCGAACCCAGTCCTTTCCCCTCATTTTCACCCCCGGCGGGTCCAATGGCTGCCCCGGCCGGCCGCGGAGCCGCCAACCCGCGTCGGGAGCCGCCCCGCCCACCACGCCGCTCCGCCCCACCCACCCCGCCCGGCGGGAGGCGGCGGCCGCGGCCGTCACGTGTCCTGGCAGCCGCCAAGCGCGGCCGCTTTTGCGACGCGGTGACAGCCAAATGGTGCGACAGGAGGAGCTGCAGCCGCGGCCGCTGCGCCCCGCACCGGGAGGCTCGAGGCGGCTCCAGGCGTAGCCCATAGGGAGCGACCGAGCGAGCAGAGTCCGGCGCGGACGGGCGGCGGCGGGCCGGCGGGGAGGGGGAGCCCGCTAGGAGTGTCCTCGCTCCCCGCCGCTTCCATGAACGGGGTGAAATAAGCCGCGCCTCCAGCAGGGGCTGCGCCTCCATGAATCCCTAGTTGTTGTTTTTTTTTTTTTTTTCCTTTCTCTCCCCGCTCCTCACCCCCCGCCCCGGCTCCCGTCCCGCCTTCTCCCTTCGCCAGCGGCGGCCGCGTCCAGGTGCGGAGTCCAGAGCGGAGCGCAATGGCGTCTAACCCCGAACGGGGGGAGATTCTGCTCACGGAGCTGCAGGTAAGGCCCGCGGCCCGGCGAGGGGCTGGTGGCGGAGAGAGGGAGAAAGCCTGGCGCGGGGTCCAGGGCCGCGGGGAGCGGAGCTGCCGCCTGCCCCCCAGCCCGCTAGCTGCGGAAACTCGGGGTGTCACTCGGGAGCCGCTGCCTTCGGGAGCATGACCCTCTCCCCCGCGCCGGGTCCCCGGCCTGCCACCGCTTTAATTTGATTACCTCCCAGAGGAGAGACCCCCATTTCTTTTCGGCTGGAGCCAGCTCTCACCCGGTCCCGGGAGCGGCCAGCTTCCCGCCCCCTCCCGGGGTGTCAGAGCCGCGGGGGTCGCCCCGGTCACCCCCTCCCTCCGCGGGGTCGGCCCCGCCCCGCTTGTCCCTCGGACACCGCTCGGTAAACTCCTTTTGAATGACTCGCAAGCTGTTTTCTCGTCCCTCCCCTTCCCCTTCAGACTGTGCACAAAGAGCGCCCCCATAACTTCCAGCCCCCGACAAGTTTTTTTTTTTTTTTAAACGTGTCTCACCAAATGCTTGCTTAATTTCATCAGCTCTTTTCAGGTAACTGTATTTCATTCCTCTAAAAAGGGCTGCCTTTTGGTACCAAATAGTTGATATGTGTTCCTTTGCCCAGCTACTCCCTGTTTAGATCCGGAAGCTCAGATGCTGATGCTTTTCAGACTTTCATTTTCCCTCCCGTTTGAACTCCAGAGAAAGAGCTGCAGAAGTTGTTTACAAATCAGAAAGCAGTTGGCTAAGGGAAAAAGTCGGACACCACATACCCGCAGAAGATGAGAATAAAATAGGCCCCTTAATTAGTTAGGTCCATATCGAGTAAGGAATATTATTTCTTTGCAGTTTCCAGCTAAATGTTTGATGATGTAGGCTTGATTTTTGTCTTTGGGTCTCTGATGTACAAGGGGACCTACTCAATCCTTTAGGGTTTAATTCTTATTATTTTGTAGTGCTCCAGCGATGTCTCCATCTGGGTTATAAATGTCATGCTTATTTTTGACTTAAACTTATTTTTGTTTTAACGTAGTCATCTTTTCGAAGGTTGAAGATGGGAATTTAGGGCGAGATAGCATATTTACATTTCTTTTTCTGCATTGAACAGTTAAATTTTTTGAAAAAATATTGAATCTGGAAAGTGAAGGGTTGATTCTTGATGACGTAAACGTTGAGTATTGCAACTGCTTCTAAATTTCTCGCTGTTTATGTGTATTTTTAGATAGATCTCTAAGCTTGGTTTATTGTGCAGTTAGATGTAATCTGGAAGGCATTGTGATAGTTACACCACAAATAGAGAAATTTCAGCAAGATATACCAGTGCTTTGTTGCAAATTTGAAATCCTTTGGAAATGCAGAGCTGAATTTCATATCTTCAAACATGTTGCTAATTTTAATTACTCAGCCTTTTATGAGGTCTTACAACTCACCTCCTTTGCTGGCCGAATGGAATTTATTTTATTAATTTATATGAGCTTTTAAAATGAAGTTTGTTTTAGGCACATTGGAAATCATTGCCTAGTCATGAAATAAGAATAGCACGTTTTGATTTTGACAAAAAAAGCCATTAAAGTGATATTTACTTCACTGGGTTATGAAACTAGTATATAGTAGAAAAAGTATTTTGAAAACTTCTTTGGAAAAACTGCTTTTTAAAAAAACTTCTAAATTGTTTGAATTTATTTAAATTGAAAAGTAGTTTAATATGAAATTCTTAATGCTTCTGGGCCATACAGAGTTTTAAGTATCTAAATAGTAATTTATGTAGCAAGTTTTAAATGTGTTTAGTAGCAAAAAAAAAATGCTACTTTGCCATTACTTGTCACAGGAATACTTGTCTCATTCTGAAAGTTATGTGTTACAACCTACTTTTAATGAAAATTGATATTTAGAACCATTAAATATCTGACTTTTTTTTTATTAGTTTTCAAATTATAATGCAGAATTAGAAATGCTTTACTAGTTGAGCTGGAATTGGCTTGTTAATAACGTATGGTTGTTATTGTAAAAAGACAAAACTAAGAAAATATAAAAGCACAGTGCTTTGACCTGTTAATTACTATAAAATTTCTGCTAGGTAATACTTCTAATTCTTTACAATAACGTAGGAGGCAATTCAACAAGGAAGCATTAATAAACTACACACAAATTCTGGTTAGAGGCTTTGATGTGTAAGAAAGATATTTACTATACTAAAAAATAAATTAGGCTGTTTAAAAATATAAACTTAATTGGCAATTTCTAATTTTTATCTCTTTAACTTGTGTTATGTTCTCTTTCTTATTTAGTGAGATTCTTTTGTGAGGCCAAAAGAATACTTAACCTTGAATTACAGTGATTCATTTCAAGAAACATTTATTATCTACCAAAGCTATTTTGGTAGGTGGATCTAAAGATGAAAAGATAAGGTTTTTACTTCCTGAAGATACTACAAATAACATTTATTGATTCTTTGCTACAAGACAAGCATTGTACTTGGTACCCTTATATATTTTATTTAATCTATATAGCAATCCAATGAGGTGGATGTTGTGCTGTTGTTTACATTTTACAAATCAGGAAACTGAGTTTACTAATGTTAACTGAATGGTTCATGGTCAAACTGGAAGTCTGAAATTGAAATCAAATCTATTGAATATGTTCCCCACTGCACCATCCTTTCACCTGCCACTGTTCTGTGGACCTATAAATGTTTTACATTCCAGTGTTATAGATATGTGAACTTTCTAAAAATTTGTCAAAAAATGTAATACAAGCTTTATACTAATTGTAAGATTCCCCTATAACTAGTAAAAATGATGTCTATGCCCTATTTGGTAGTCTGTAATTAGGCAGTACTTTATTATTGCAAGTAAGGTGTAATAATTTGCATACAATAACAGTACAAAAAAACCTTGCAGGTTTTCCTCATTTAACAATTGCTGTTTCTTATGAAAATTCTCAAGTGCTTACCCAAAACCTTCCAAGAGAGTTGGCATTTCTCTGTAGACTGTGCATAAGATAAACTTTGCCTTAGAAGTTTATGTGTAAGCATGTTATGTGTTTGACATTTAGTGGGTACTCAATACATCAGTGAGAAGGCTCCATGTGTTACCTAGGATAGGAAATGTCTTTTGACTACTTTAAGAAAAGTTGATTATGGGGCCTCCCCGGTGGCGCAGCGGTTGAGCGCTGGGTTGCGAAGCTGCCCGCAGCCTCTGCAGCACCGGTTGGATCCCCGGCTGCTCCCCGGCCACCGGAGGAGGGTCCCACCTGGCGCGCAGACCTCTCCTGCCGCCCCCTGCTCCCCTCAGCAGTGTACTTCGGTCCTTCTGCCTGCTCTGCTCCCCGCTCTGGCTCTGGTGAGTTCTCTCACCCTCCCACGCTTCTGACTGTACCCAGTGCTTGTATAAACAAACAAGCAAACAAATAAATAAATAAATAAAACATGCCTCTATTAAAAAAAAAAAAAGAAAGAAAAGTTGATTATGGCTACTGACATAAAAAAATTACTTATCTTTTCCTTAATTTACGTTTTTGATCCCTTGTCCCAAAAATATTCCCTTGAAAAGTTAAAGGGATTTTGGTACTGGGTATATCTACATTTTGTTATTTTCCATTTGGTGGGAAGTTAGGAGGTGGCATCTAATGTTGCAGTGCTACTGGAAAGTGGAAGTCTCTTTTGGGGAGATTAAAATTTTAGGGTGGGTTGGAGAAATGGTATATGAGAAAGGAATCAGAGTAGATAACACAGATTTTATAGTTTTTTCAAGCTATATATGTAATACATATTCATTATAGAAAATATGGAAAATGTAGAAAAGCACAAAAGAAAATAATAGGTGCTATTAATTCTGTCACTCAGAAAACTGATAATTTTTTTCAACTTTCCCTGGCATTTGTGTCCATTTTCTTTTTCTTCCCTTTATCCATTTTATTTACTAAAATTTTAAAGAAAAAAAAGTTCACAAAGTTTTAAGATAAAAATTGCTATAGATTTATTTTCAGTTTTGCCTGTAGTCTTACATAAATGGATCCGGCTAACTTTCTAATCTCAAACTTTTGACTTTGAGTCGGTGCTTTGAGATGCAGTTAAGAAAATTGGAGAAGATAGCATGAATTTTGTAATAGACAATATAAGCATCAGCTCTTTGCATAATTGATACATTGTGGTTTTAGAATGCCACATACTTTATTGAATAAGATACATTATTAAATAACTTGTCAAATATTTACTAATTAGATAAAGGTCTGTACTGAAACTGGTGCTGTAAAATGACAACTCTAAAATGGATCGTGTGTTTCAATTATCTAATCAGTGCAACAGAAATTAGTTCAGGTTTCTTGCAACTCCTACTATGCACATTTATGATCAGTGTTGGAAATATGGAGAGATAGGGGTACTTTGTATTCATTGCCTTTTTACCTTAGTGCTTGGCATCTGATTCCTTGGGCTTTCATCTTTCTGCTTTTCAAATTCCTTTCATCAGATTAATTGCTGTGTGTCTGCTTTTGAACAAATAGGAAGGATGGAGTACGACTTTATAGATATGAATATAATTCAAAATAATGTTATTTCCAGAAGCATAAGTGATATTTGAATAGGATAGTTAATTCTGCATCATTTTCTAGTAAAAATTTTTAGATGTCTATTCTATTTTTTAAAACTAATTTTACTCTAGATTATGAGGAAACCATGGCATTTAATATGATTAACATTTGATATACAGCAGAGTTCAATCTTGGCAGCAAAATAAAGTTGAAAACTGGTTAATAGTTTTAAAAAGATTTTGAAAAATTTGAATGGGAAAAACATGCTAATGAAAAAGTAGCTTCTAATATTTTAGAAAAGTGGAACTGGAGAACTTTTATCTTGTTATATGTTTGGTTTCTTAATTATATCATGAAATTTAGATAAAACATTCAGTTTTTCACACTCTTACAGCAATTAAATTTATGTAACATTATACATATAAATACTGTTTGTTAAAAATGAAGAACCAGAAAGCCTGAGAGGAATGTATTTG